AGGATGATATATATAAGCATGTGTTAAGCGAAGCCGCCTTCCTATATGTGGCGTACACAATGACCACACATCCTGACTATTGAAAACAAGCTCTGCGAAGCATGCGACATTAGAGCGCCTCTCGATCACTCCGGACGCTGAGCGCAGTGAACGCAGTGTAGTGCAGAACGCGCGCCTTTCATTGGCCGGCAACCAGGAACTCGATATCTGCGACCATTCAGTATCTGTGGGCGCTGCGCTACGCCGCACCCGTCGGCGTTACGTTGGAGTATAAACATACCTTTATACAGAAGCAAAGTAAGAATTCTCACTTTAAAAATACCATCTGCCTTTCTGCCGTCAATTTGTTAGCACCCTAGAAAATTTTTAAACTTCGGAAAATAGTAAATTCGTCATCTATGGGTATCAACACGCTTCATTCACAGTACTGTGGAAGCCTTAATTTGGTCATATTTCTAGCTTTATATATTAAGTTATACAAAAATAATGCAAGGTGAATTGCAGATTCTGTTAGTGCTCGTCATTGACCTTAATGTTGGAGAATGTATATTACAAATATCGCGAATGTTTTTTTTTTTTTTTATCGAGTTAAGAAAAAACTTTTAATTATTGAAATGACCCCATTTGAGCATTCCTCATAAATTTTTAGAGCTACCGAGGACACAAATATTTAGCGCAAATATTAACAAGATAGAGGCCAACACGCTGGCAAAGTTTGAAAGTTCTGGTATTTATAGATGCGGGAAAGAAAATTAATTATTCTCGCGAAATGTGCCGTGTTTGCGATTTTTCGCTGAAAATAATACCATTGGTACTTAATGATAATTATTTGGAGTCAATCCTCTATATAGGTAGTTTGTGAGTAAATATTTCTAGACCCGTAGCCATGACAGTTTTTTCTTTGGGGGGGGGGGGGGGGGGGGGGGGGGGGGAGAGAGAGGTGCCCGAAATGCGAACTTCGCGCTATTCGCGTAAAGAGCTTCGCACTGAGAGTGTGCTCCTGATTTTTTTCCGCGAAGACAAACTTTTTTTTTTCCGCAAAACAAATTTTGGTTTTCTTCTAACGGGCCTTGAGCCTACAAACTATATTTTTTTCGGCAAAATTAAAAATGGTCACCGGGGAACTTCTGTCGTGTTTACCACCACACAGACACGTTTCCAGTAAACACGCGTGTTAAAAAAAATTAAATAATGACAATTTTGGCACGCGTGTACGAATCATACCATTAATTCACGAAGAAGCTACATTTATGCAAACTAGCCTTGTGTTCTACGAGCAGTTCAAAGGCCTTCGGCGAACCATGCGCAAGTAGGTTGGCACGCGCAGGGTCAGGGTATGGAGCCAATTTGCCGACCGCCCAAAGGCCTTTGATATAACGCAATGTCTAGAGTGCCGTCCTACGATGCCTCTACCGAGCAAATGCTGTCCTTTAGTATAGATTGTCATGCTTTTGGCACTTTGTGGCCGAAATTCGTATGCCTACAATAGCTGTACCTTTTTACAGCGAAGCTGTTTATGGCTAGGGTTCCGTGGATTTTTTGTGTCCGTCAGCAAAAAATCAGGTCCCGAATTTGGTGCAAACTCGCTTTGCTCTATGCAAAAGCTCATACGTCTCATGACTTGGATATCAATTTTCAGTAGATTAGTTATCAATAGGCAGCATTTTCAACATCAGTAGACTCTCGGATAGATAATACAGGTTTCTCAAAAGATCTACAGCTGTGCGACCCGCGTCGGTCATGTCTACGCTCGCACCGTCCTTTCTTCGTCGTCCTTCCAAGCGCTTGCGTGCCTAGTTTCCTTTCCTTCCGCTCTCCCGGGGTGGCGGTCCCGTCGCGCGTGTCTAGGTTCCTCCGGCTCATCGGGGCGGCGATAGTCGTCCACGCGAATCTTTTCAATTTTCAACTTCCCTTCTCTTCTCTCGTGTGTGCGCGTGGGTACCCTTCGTCACGATGACCACCAATCAAGGCGATATATGTGCTCGTACCTTTGTTCAAAATTCTGGGTCACGTCTCTGTCGTGTGCTACACAGCTTCGCTGGTCATCCACCTTCAAAGTGGAATGGCTGATGATTCTTGTATTAAATATGCCCATAATGCCCCTCCCCCTCCTCCCCCCCCAAAGAAAAAAATTAAAATTAAAAAGATATATATATTTTTAATTTTCATTTTTTTTTCTTTGGCCGGGGGGGGGGGGGGGGGGGAGAAGGGAGGGGGATATTGTCGTTACTTGACAACGTTGTAACCGTCACTCGATAAGAACTCAAATTTATTTTTTTAAATCACAATTTAAGTCTTAAAACTATAAATCTTGAAGTATTAACCCACTACCATGTGCCGTGATTAACATTGAGTTGGGTACGGCATTGGAGGCACTGACTTGATCGAACCACGTTTTAGCGAACGAAGCCCCGCCTATGATGTTTCATAAAACGACACACTTTAGTGAGTGTAGGTGTTCATTTGAGCGAACGGTGAATTAGCGATGTCGTTCTAGAGACACCAATTAATTTAATCGCTTCGGAACTTCGTTTAGGAAAAATAGCGACCTGCTTTCTTCATCTCAAACTGAAATCGACTTCATTGCGTGTTTGAAGTTCCTCTGACAGCTATACAAGGAAGGAGATAACTTGAACGATGTGCGCAGTTTCTATTGCCCGTACCTTGCCCTGGTGGTGGCACTGTTCTGCCATAAATACAATATAAAATATAATTACAAATAAATTATAATTACAATCGTAAAGCAATGTAACATTGCATATATAATACAGTTTCCACTCAATAAATCGCACTTAAAGTTTGCAGTTATCAAAACTAAAAAAGTTCCTAAAGAAAAAAAACAAAAAAAATTTTTTTACTGACTAACGAAAGAAAAAAATAAAACGAGGAAGCTTGAAGCCTTTCGCTCGTCGTCGCGAAGGTTAGGTGCATATGCACTCGACTCATGCGTTTCTTCATGCGGCCGACGTCTTCTGGGCCCTTCGGCGTCAGCACCGGCTCTGAGGGCAAGAACTTCAACAAGCGAGTTTCGGCGGTTTCTGTGTGACGTGGTAAACAGTGGAAGCTGTGGCCTCGGTGAACCAATCGGAGTCTGGGATAAGGCACGTGAGGACTCAACACCGATGTGGACATCGCATTGACTCCAATAAAGCGCATTTATCGAACTCGTTTTTTAATGTATCCTTAGTATAAAAAGCTCTACTTCCAATATATTTGTACAGATTTGGGGAAGATAAGTAAAGACAGTATCTTTAAAGTAACTGTACATGTACCTAGGTACATCTTTAAGCAAGTACCTAGGTGCGCACCTAAGTACCTTTTCGTAAAAGTAACTGTAGCTGTATCTTGGGTACATTTTTTAAGTAACTTTTACAACCCTGCACACAATATTATTATTATCAAAAGTAAAAAAAAAAATCGTTTAGAAAGGGTACGGAAACACGCCGGTGTCGATATTACCCTGCGTCTTGTACACCGGGTAAACGAAGTCCCGCTCCTTGAAGTGTTTGCGGCACACAACGGGCGACGGTGACGGTGTCCTTCTCAGGCCTAGTTTGATTGTTCATGCTCTCTTTAACCTCAACGCCTTGAAGCGGTGAGGCTGATATCGGCTTCTTTTCGGGATTTGCATTGCGGCACTGAACACTAGGCGAACATGATCGCCAATCAGGACACGGGGGCAGGGAAGCGAACCGGACGCGAGATCGCGAAACGGAGTCCTTCACCGGACGTCACGGTACACCATACACCAAACAAGGCGCGGCGACCGCAGTGACCGCAGCGACGCTGTGTTAGCTCTCGGGGCTATTCGCAAAAAAGTGAGCGTTTCAATTGCAGGTATTCACGCGACGTTAATCTTGCGTGTTTGAAGAGAGGGGGGAGGGGGGAGTCAGGATATATCGTAAACGAGGAGCTTAATTGCTCTTAATTGCGCTGAATTGCGTGAAAAACACGTGTAGAAGAATAACACACTTGACATGACCACCAGTAAGTACATTCATCATTGTGATGGCGAATAATCAAACTCCCTTATATCATTTTCGTAGTCACTTAAATGGGCGATGCAACAATTTTTGTTATTTTAAGCAATTTATTTTACTTCGTCCATTTTCTTGCGCGCTGCTTGCCTTTTTTTCGTCATGGACCGACTAACCCACAACGCCACCTTCATATACTTGCGTCCGACTAATGCCAGTAAGCTTGTATACAGAGTGTGAGAAATATTCTTACCCATTATCGTTTCACGACACATTCAAAGACTGGACTCATCGAAGGGAACGGCTGGCGAGCACCCGACAAAGTTTCCCCCGACGACACGTGCGCTTTACGCGCGGAGCAACAAACCCTGTTTTGTCGCCACGTGTAGAGAAAGCGCCTGTGGCCACAATTCCTCGCTCGTTCGCAACGTGGCTTTCATTGACGTCACATCATCAATTCCCACCCCTGCCCGTTTCGATCAGGATTGGCATCGTATTCGGGCCTGCGGACGTGTATCACGTCTGCCTTACGCACTCAAGAGTTGCCAGGGTAGCTAGCAGTGGTTCTGTACCGGCTAAACTTGTCTTCTACGGCTTCTTCTACACAAAAACTTCTTCTACACAAAAACAAAAACAAAAAAACGCGAGAAGTCAATTTATGTCAGAACAGCCGCCACTGCGGTGTATTCCCTCAGCTCATGCATGACGACGTCACGTGCTGACGGCAAGATTAATTCGAATCCCCCTCGAGTTTTATTACGAACACGCGCGCATACGATTTGCTGTTGCGTTTGAAACGTCACTGATAATGCAACCCTGATTTGCGCGCACGTGTGGAACTTTTGTTTTATTTCTTTCTACATGCTTACCCTTTTGCGCGACATTTTGGGGCGCGACGTGCTTCGTTCGAAAGAGAAAGCACGTTTATCTCTAGTACAGTGTTCGGTTTCTTGTGGTTAATTTTAAAGAGTAGCGCCATTCGCTGGATTTTGTTTTTAATGCAGCGCACGCATACACTCGCAGGTCGAGAGGGACATTGCCATCTGGAACCAGAAGACGTACCTCAAGCAGCCCTGCCTCGTGAAGGAGGAGAGGTCTATCGCGGCCTTCCGCAAGTGGTACTCCCAGTTCTACAGCACCAACAGCCCCACGTGGCAGGATGTGCGCGATCAATCTCTGGAGTGGTGAAACGGAAAACGAGTTGTCGTTCATTGCCGGCTGCATTTGCATGGCCTCAGCGCAACAAAACGCGGGACATACACGTGCCGACCGCAAAGCGGCCGTCAAGCCGCTCAGACATGAAAAAAAAAAAAAAAAAAAGACACGGCGTTTGTTGCAGACATGACAACAGATGTAATCCGCAAACACTCCTCAAGCACCGCAGAGAATTTGAACGCCAAAAACACACGGACAAGTAGGGAAGTACGACGTACGCCACAGAGTCCATAATTAAGCCGGAACGAAGCTTGTAGTTGTGAGTGACTCTTTGTATGTTAGGTATTGCCTTTTGGTTTTCGTCTTGCCTTTCGCAGCTTGTGATTTTGTCATAATCCCTTCAGTGACTGCTTTTTGTACTGTTTGTTTACTTTCATTTTAACAGAGTAGCCTGTCGAATTGCTGATTCAGATAATTACCACCAAGTTTTAATAAACGTGTACTCCATCTCTTTAGTGTTTCGTTTCTTTTAGGTTTATGGTTTTTCTTCAGTTAAATTCAGTGAACTTTTCTAGTTCAGCGAAAACTCAAGCTATTTTATATGTCTATCATTTTAGTCGAAATCTGTTTTTCTAAAAAAAAAAAGAAAAAAAAAAGAACACGGAACGAAAACAATTTTTTTTGCATGAAATGTTTCTTTGTCGATTTTCTTTCCGCTTAAAGAGACGCTGACAGGGTATTTTCCCTCGCCAACATTTTTATTTGTAAATGACATATAAGAGCCCGACTACCCAGAAAACAATTCGCGGCTCGAAATCCGCTTTCTTTCTCCCCGTGAACCGCCGATCGAGAACTGGCCGCTTTAAGTCGCGCTCACTCTCTTCTCGGTGGGCACGTGCCGTTTTCTATGGCTAAGACACAACCATCAAAAATACTTGAAGTCGTGGTTCATGGAGGACAACACACTCAATAATAAAAATAGAAGAGAACTGTGATACCCATTTCTATGCGGCGTCTAAAAAACTGTAAATACGTTGACTGAAAAAAAAAAAAAAAAAAAAAAAAAAAGCTTGCATAGTTACGTGATTTTTGCAAGTTTTCTCCTCTATATTTCTTCTCCCTCCCCAGTCCAGTTTCGGTTTCGGTTTGGTGCAGTTACGTTTCTTTTCTTTATTATAAATATACGTGACGCTGTAGCAAAATACGAATTAGGTAGTTTTCTGGCACCAATATAAACTGCCTGGCCAAAAAAAAAAAAAAAAAAAGATAGGGTGGTGAAAACGTTTTTTTTTTTTTTTAAAGCAAACCACTTGTTTTAAATTCTCTTAAAGCAGACTTGTTGCTTGATAAATAGCGGTAGTACTCATCTGTGAGAGGCCAGAGCGCTCGACAGCCAAGTCCCGCGACCGGGTCATATATCATCAACTGAGCTGTGATCGGCTGATGAAAATAAAAAAAAAATAGTGGGTCGATCTCAAGGCGTCTAGGATTCAGGTCTACCATCTATCCTTTCAATGAATGCCAATCGGAGCTCGTCGTCATTTTGACGTCGCCGGAACTCCTGTGCTAGAAGCACCACGTCTTTCTCTCCGGATACACAATAGCATCAAACAGTGGGTACAAGAGCTGACATTTCGGTCGATCAGGGGCGGGTTCTGACGTTCTATAAGATAAAGACTAACAAGGTATCGAGTAAAATAGTTTGTTGTGGGGTGAGTTGGTGAACGTCGGAATGACGGGGCACATTCACCTGCACACTGCAGAAACTGTAAGTGTGAGCCACGTTTTTCTGACACTGCAATTTTGGGCGGAAGTAAGGGACAAAAAGCACGTGAACTGTTGGAAGCCTTCTTTATCAAAAAGAAAGGTGCCCTATGCGTGAGCGCTACCTCGATAAGTTTGTATAATGCTGAAAAACGCTTCCTTGATAAGTTTCTGTGACGATGCGTGTGATAGTGACACGACGCATGCGTGGACGCTTTGAAGTTGACGATATATCTGTATGTTTTCTAAAGGTTTCCTCAATACAGTTGTAAGTTGCGCTCGTGTTTGTTTCTCTCTCTTGTGTCCGTGTTTTTTGCCCAAAATCAAGCATCCAAAGGTATCGCTTCGGGCTGTGGCACCCGGAATAATAAACAAACTCTTACCCGAACCAAATCACCACTGTGAAGCCCGTTAAGATTACGAGTCAATTCTTTTCGCGGCGGATTCAGGTGACGGGCGTGAACGCCGCGTTTCTCCGTTGATTTATCTGCTGTAACGCTAGGACTACCGCGCCGTGGACGCCCCACCAGCGACAGAAGCCCTCTTGTTTCGAAAGTCACTGACGTCACGTCAGCATCGCGTTGCGATTTTTTACCGCTTTGCGGTTCCTGAATGCGGTTGGGAGAAATCCGTGCCGAAGCGATTGGCAAAAAACGCGCTCCAACCGCTCGATCCCAGTCGCTTCCCGGTTGAGAAAGCAAGGATCCGCTTCGCGTTTGCGGATCCACTTTCATGGCGCGTTCACACTGGAAGCGGATCCGCGTTCGCGAAGCGGATCCGCGCGTTCTCAACCGCAAAGCGGCTAGGATCGAGCGGTTGGAGCGCGTTTTTGCCAACCGCTTCGGGACCGATTTCTCCCAACCGCTTTGACGAACCGCAAAGCGGCAACCAATCACAACGCGACGCTGACGTGACGTCAGTGACTTTCCAAACAAGATGGCACCTGTCGCTGGTGAGGCGTCGAAGGCGCTGTAGTCCTAGCGCTGTAGTCTTAGCTTTCGACAAATCAACGGAGAAACTTCATGTTCACGTCCGTCACTTGAATCCGCCGCGAAAAGAATTGACTCGGTAATTTTAACGGGCTTCGCACCGGTGATTTGGTTCGGGAAAGAGTTTGTTGATTATTCCGGGTGCTACAGCCCAAGCTTGCTGCCCTGTTAATCTCTGCCTGTAGAACGTCGGAGCCCGCCCCTGATCGACCGAATTGTCAGCTTTTCTACCAACTAGGATAGTCGCGTGAACTATTGAAAGCTTTCGCCACCGTGCATGACCACCACGAAGGCCGACAGAGACGTCGTGAGCTTGATTGCGTAGCCAACGCACTACCGCGGAGGGGGCAGGGTACCGCTAGCTCGACCTGTAACGTTTACTACTAATAAAATAAATAAAGGGAAGCCACTCAAGGAATAAAGTGTACGTACCAGACAATGCAGAGGTAATCCATACGGCGTTTATTTGAGCTTAATGTCAAACAAACAGTAGACTCGATCGACGAGCGAGTGACGAGAGGAGAGTCCGCCATCAACGAAGCCACGACCGACTAGCACCGAACACATTCCCCCGCACCACGGTCCACCCCACCGCTCACTACTTTGAAAATGATAAGAGCGAACAACAACGAGGGGGAAAAACTGGCCCTCTATCCCGAAAAAAAGGTCAGCTATTCATGCGGGAAGGGTCCACTTCGAAGAAAAGGTCGGGGGCATCCTGTTCTGAGTCAGCAAGGCGCGCCTTGCTGACTCAGAACTGGGCTTTGCTTGTGGGCGAAGTCGAGGGAATCACAGGCGAGTTTGGCGGGTCCATGCTTCTTTTTTCGCTCCTTGAACTCGTGATGCGCGCCAAAATAGGAAAAAAACTTTGGCTTTGGATCTTGAATTAAAGTGGATTTTGGATTGTAAAACAGGGTTGCCAAACGCAAGTCTCAAAAGATCACGCGTGACCGCCGAGAAACCGCCAACCGCCTCTCGGTGTGTCTGAACGGGGTCGCTCGCGAACCGCATTCGCGACCGCTTCATGAACGCGGATCCGTGAATGCGCCATCAGTGTGAACGCGCCATAAGGCGGTTCTGCGAAACGCCTTTTCCCTTCAAGATAGCCGCCTTCCAGCATGTTGGTGAAGAGCCTTTGCCACTTTCACCACTTGTTTAAAGGGGTACTCCACCGATTTTTTGAGCTACCTCAACTAACTATATTTTCTGACTCCCCGGCCTTTACTCTCTCCGGTATGCTATTCAGAATCGCGAAATTCATAATAGTTATTGCGAAATCGGCAAATGAAAATGATGCAAAAACCAGCATTCAAATATACGCGCGCTTTTCAGGGCCCTGACGTCAGTGGCAGGCAGGCTTGCCAGTCGAGCAAGCAGCCAAAAAATAGAATATGCCGATCATTTGCTCCGTGCTGGAGCGCGGGTACTGCAGCGAGCTTCCCAAGCATTCATTTGACACCATGAAACTGCTTCGAATCAGTTTAAAACAAAATCTACAGCCCAAAGAGTGAGCCCCTGCCTTCCACTGACGTCACTTTTTCACTGTTGCCAGTAGAGACTTCGAGCTTGAAAAACACGGTGAGGACCAAAACTGTAAATTCAATAACTTCGCGAAAAAACAATATTTTGACCTAATATTTGGGATACTATTTTCGCGATGTTTGCTGGTTAGTTTAGCAAAATTTCAAGCAAATCGGAGACAATGAAAAAATCGGTGGAGTAGCCCTTTAAGCGCAGGCGCTTAGCTATTCGCTTCGTTTTGGGTGCGTGTTGATGAAGCGCTGAAGCATGGAGAGTGGTTCTGTCCTGGACGGAACTTCGTAGGTACAATTGGGAACGTATATTTCAGCTACATGATTGCACACGTATTTCGAATTTTTCTTTTTTCGAAGTCTCCCCGGTGGCGTCTACTGTGCCTTTACTACCGCCGACCGCTCGACTTCTCGATCGTTGGTTTGTCTTGAGTCCCAACCAAGATGTATAAAAATCGACTAGATGATCATGCTCCTTTCTGTGGCCGGCTACTCCGGCTAATGCAATGAACCAAAACAAAACAAAAAAAAAATATTGAGACCGAGTTTTAAGAGAAGCTGCCTCTGTCCGGGAGAAAGACGTACGGAAAAAGTTCATCAACATGGCGTCTGGTGAGATTTCGGCCCGGCAGTACGTCGCGCGAAACCACCAGATAAGCCATCGCACCTGTTCAAACCAGCAACTGGGCAACTGGAAGCTGCGAGTTAAATATAACTTGGTAATTCACAACAGCACTGCGGAACGTGA